TTATTTGATGAATTAATTATTGTGATGTCAGTCAGTGTAATTCATTTATCATAAGCTGTAAACTTTTAAAGTGGATCATATTTTCTTCCAGATATTCCGCAGAATGCCAAAGTTTGAATGGCTTTTCTTGAGTCGTTTAGCTGAAGTTGGTGCAGCATTCCGGACAGATGAACACATCGCATATGTGAATGCACCAATATTGATACTGCATGCTTTAAATGATTGCATGGTACCTTTCGAACTGGGTCAAAAGGTGAGTTTTTCAGTATCCTAATATTTAATTACAGGACATAATAATGTACATGCAGTGTTAGTTAATTTTAGATTTCCCAAATAATTGTTATCATACAGAAGTAAGTTTCATTAGCATTAGAGATCCTATAGTAGATTATACTTTTCCAGCTGTTTGAGACTGCCAAAGGGGTACGACCGCAGACTCTGCCACCTGTCAAGTTTGTAGAATTTGATGCCAAGTATGGCCATGACTACATTTGTCGAGCCCCTGACCTGCCACAGATTATTAGGTAAGAGGTGTAATGCCATCCAAGTTTTTTGCATTTATTTTGTTTATGAAGACATATTTTTGATAATGGATGGAAATTATGAAATGGCGTATTGCTTTCTTAGAGATCCATGAAAGAAAGTGGAATGTCTGAGAAAAAATTGCATGAACTACAGTAATCCACAGTTTAACAAGAACTATTATGCTGAAACATTTGAGTGTAGTTACATAGAGCATAATTCCTGTAAACTTTTAAGTGAAACAGGATAGTAGTAACCCCAGTAACAAGTTTAATGCAGTAAACAAGTTTAATGCAGTAGATGTTAGATAGTAAACCCTCAGTTTACTGACAGATAAGGGAAAGGGTTTCTATTAGCCCCCCAAAATCATATTTACTATGTTTATGGATCACTATAATTTATACATGGAGCCCTATTTACCACACTGTTGATGTTATCTTGTAAACTGCCAAACATAGGTAATTTGCTTTCCTATCTCTCTCTCTTTTTACTGGAAGTGAGATGTTTGTAGTGTCATTTGCAAAAGCTGGTAGTATATGGCATTTTCCTCCAGCCACACCCATCACACTGTCCCATTTCCTTCTTGTTGAGAATAGAGCATAGGGTGAAATTGTAATTTTGGTACTGTATCTTCACCCAGCCAAACCCCATCAGCCTTTCTCTTCCCATTCTTTTATGATCTCATCTGTTAAATGACACAACTCATGGTTTCTTATTCTTTTTCCTTCTTCCACACATAGGTTAATGTGTTATTGTGTTATATGGTAAAATAATGGGAGGGAATCAGTGAGGTCTGGTTAGAGGATGTGTCCAACCTCAATTGTTTACCACTGTTATTTTCTTTATAAATTATAATCATCCTGAACTGCTAAAAAAAATAATTGTTTATTCATTGTGTATACACATGGATGGCTCCTTAACCCATTCGCCACATGTGGCAAGAATAGATGCCATACACAATTATTTATTATATTTACACATAGATGGCTCCACAAGTTCTTAATCACCAAATAGCCAGTTATCAAGAACTACCTATTTCAACTGTTTACCCTTTTCCTTCACTTTAGGAAAGTTTTTTTGTATCATTTCATTATCTAAAATATTCTAATGACAATTTAATAATCATAACATCAATAACAATAATAACAGAATCGATAACAATGGTATTAATTTTCCCGCCAATTCATTGAATGGGAAAATCAGGGTCGGTAACTAGGGCCTACTGATAGACTCCTTGCCGGCTGAGCACGTGGAGCCATCTGTATGTAACAAAATTCACCAAAAACTACAGGGGACAGAATATAAATCCGGGGCGAATGGGTTAAGTACTTGGTCACTAAGGAGTCAATTACCAGTACTCTCTTTCACAACTGTTTCCCCTTCTCCTTGATTTTTGGTAAGATTCTTTATGACTGTCAATATTTTGATAACATTATGATACTTATAATATCAGTATTGACAAAAAGTATTGCAAAAAATCTGAAAACTCAAGGAATGGGGAAGTCCAATAAGGCCACATCAGGTCTGCTAATTGACTTGGTTGTGGCTGAGCACTTTCCTTAACAAAATTCATAGTGAACAGTACATGTATCTGCATACAAAGGATTAAATCAAAGGTTTTGTTTTTCTTGGTAATAACTCCTTATTTTTAAAAATTTACATTAATATTTTGAACAAGATTTATGAGGTTGTCCGAGATGTTTAAGGGCAAGAGTATTTAATTTTTTTTATTAAGATTTTAAAAAGGTTTGTAACTTCTGATTCTTTAATTTGCAGAGAATTCTTTAGAGATGCAGGAGAAGGGAAAATGTAGTGCTAATAAATGGCTGTTTGCTGTACTACTTTCTGAAGGTTGTATCCAGACTGGTAAGATAATAACTACCAAAGATATATATTATGTATTACAAAATGCATTTGAAATCAGATGAATAGCTATGTATTAGAATGTGTGTGTGTGTGTGTGTGTGTGTGTGTGTGTGTGTGTGTGTGTGTGTGTGTGTGTGTGTGTGTGTGTGTGTGTGTTTGTGTGTTTGTGTGTTTGTGTGTGTGTGTGTGTGTGTGTGTGTGTGTGTGTGTGTGTGTGTGTGTGTGTGTGTGTGTGTGTGTGTGTGTGTGTGTGTGTGTGTGTGTGTGATATATTTGATATATAAATAAAATATATATATAATATATATAGTACATAAGATGTGTAGTATATATGATATATATAATATATATGATATATACGTGTGGTACCTTTGCCAGAAAAAAAAATGAGACATTCCAATAGATTCTTGTAGCCTACACTGTGTGAATATAAGCAATGTACATTGTTACGTCATGATCTCATTCCAGAGCAACATTTATATGTTATAATAGCATAATTATGCAACCTTAGAAATATATTTTTGGCTCTGAATAGTGATTTGATATATATGCTGTATGAAAAGTTTTTTTTTCTTTTCATAATGGAATCTTGCCATGTCATTACATTATGTGTATCAAAATTCATGTAACAGTAGGATTTTATTTTTTATTTTATTATTATTATTATTATTTTTATTTTTATTTTTTTATTCCAAACTCCTTTACAGTTGTGAATGTATCTAAGCATACTGCACTAGCTTCAGTCAAAGAATATATTATTCTGTTTGTATATATTAAATCTGATATAAAGTTTTGTGACAGAGAAAGATGTTAAAATCATCATGTATGGGCTGAAGTAGGAAAAAACTGCAGAGATAGAGGGTCCAGGATTGAGGTAGAGGGAATGGGGTGTGGTCAGCTGTGTGTTGAGTCCTCATGGGAACAATCTGTATGTTAATATTACTTGTTTCCTTTAGGTGTTATCTTATTGTGTTCTTTGACTTTCTCTTTTTCTTTTCATGACCTGTGGCAAATGTATTACACATGGTGTATCCCAGGCCAAACAAACAAATGTTCACTAGCTGTTGCCTTGTACCATTTGTTGCAAGAGTTTTAAGAAAATTGCCTTTGTTTTACATGTAATTGATCTGAAACTGCCATTCCCACTTGCTGAATCCAGGGCACTTATCCCTTTAACCCAGTGGATCAGGGTGACATGACCTCATCATGAAAAAAATTGGCAGAGGGCCAGGGTGATGGGAATGTGCCATAATGAAAAAAATTGCCTGAGGGCTGAGTGATAGGTATGAGTCATTATGAGTGCATAAAACACTTGGAGGAAGATTAGTTTCACTGGGCATTTAGGAAGGGGCTCTTGCATTATTTCCACCAACAAACAAGGGTGGAATGTACCATCTGTGACCCATATCTAGAAGAGCACTGGCTCTAGCGAGGACACTATCTCCACGCCCAGGAACCTGTATCTTCCTGCCGTGACTGGTGGCATGGAAGGTGTGTTACAGAAAATTTAATAATAGGAAAATATTTAAAATTACAGAAATGGCACTTTTACTTATATTATTATTGCACAAAGTTGTTGTAGACTACCAAGAGAAATAACATGGAATCTGCTCTGCAAAAACAGGGGGGGGGGGGGGGGTTAGTTGATGATTGAATGTGCTACACACCAAAATTCATATAGCAGTTGAGAAAAATGTGGCATTGAAAAGGGCAAAGAGTGGTGATGTTAGAGAGGGTGAGTATACATGGGCTAAGGTAGGAATTAACAAGGGTGATTAGATCAAAGAGTTCAAAGTGTGGGATTCTGCAAGGATGTCCGTAGGGTAAAGTACAGTTCCAGGAGAAATGTCATGAGGGCAAAAATCCAGGGAAGGGGGTTGTTGTGACAAAACAAAGTTATGTGTATATCCAGGAGAAAGCTGAAGGTGTAACCGGGAAGGAAGAGTGGATGATGTTGATGAAGCAGGGTGAATAGGATATATTGGGAGGGAGTGGGAGGAAGAGGAGTCAAGGAATCTTCACATGACACATAAGTACATGATGTATAAGCCAAGCCTACAAGATACAACTTTAGAGAGTCACCACTCAAGTGTAATGCCTTGGTCTTGGCAACTATATCCAGTGGGTGCAATTAGAAGAGCCATAATGCACACAGTTAAGGATGAAATGTTGGGTTGGGATAGTTTTAGATGATATAGAATCAATTTTTTTTTTTTACCACAAATGTAATGGGATTGTCACATTATGATGTTCATTCCTCTCCATTTAGAGTTACATGCAGATACATCATTATTTTCAAGTGATTTCTTAACCAAAATTTTGCATTTTCATGAATCCACCCTCAAGTTGGACCAAGTCATCATTCTAAATGTCAATTTTTGAGTTATCACTACTTAAAAGTGCACAACCTTAAATAGAACTTATGCGAAAGCAAGTCATGATGCTTGTGCTGGTTTCTCTAAGGGGGACCTCATATGCATGTTTAGTTTCCATCTATATAGATATGCCAAAAAAAAGTATATACTGTATAGCAAGGTTAAGTCAACAGACAATTTCCAAGTCACTAAGATATGCAAAGTGCAGTTTTTTATATACTAAGATATGTATTTTGAAATGTGTTTGAGTCATGAAAAGGCTGTATATGCATAATGGTACTATGTAAGTTATAGTACTGTAAGTTAACTAATTTGTGTATTGTAAAGTTCATAATACTCACAAGGGTTATTTCATACTCCCTTGATGATATTTTGTTATTTTTGTGTTTTTTGGTACTTTATGGATTGCATCAAAATGGGATTGTCACGTTATGATGTTCATTCCTCTCCATTTAGAGTTACATGCAGATACATCATTATTTTCAAGTGATTTCTTAACCAAAATTTTGCATTTTCATGAATCCACCCTCAAGTTGGACCAAGTCATCATTCTAAATGTCAATTTTTGAGTTATCACTACTTAAAAGTGCACAACCTTAAATAGAACTTATGCGAAAGCAAGTCATGATGCTTGTGCTGGTTTCTCTAAGGGGGACCTCATATGCATGTTTAGTTTCCATCTATATAGATATGCCAAAAAAAGGATATACTGTATAGCAAGGTTAAGTCAACAGACAATTTCCAAGTCACTAAGATATGCAAAGTGCAGTTTTTTATATACTAAGATATGTATTTTGAAATGTGTTTGAGTCATGAAAAGGCTGTATATGCATAATGGTACTATGTAAGTTATAGTACTGTAAGTTAACTAATTTGTGTATTGTAAAGTTCATAATACTCACAAGGGTTATTTTTCTTATTGTTGTACTATGTATATTTTTCCAAGATAATTTCCTTTTTAGCTTATATATATATATCATGATTGAGATTGTAAATAGATAGTACTGATAATAATTTTAATAATGATGATAATAATAGCAATAGTAATGGTATTAGTAATATAATATAATAATAATTTAATAGGTAATGTACAAAAATTAAGGATAGTGAGAACAAATAGATTAAAGTTATTAATATATTGAGTGTTTGTATGAACTACCCATGATTTATTTATTTCTTTTTATTTATTTTTTTTATTTTTATTTTTTTGTAACATGAAATTTTCAGCCTATTTGTGTTAAATTTGCAATACAAGACCTTTAATTATTGAATATCTCCAATTGCCAAATTGTTAATGGTTGAATACCATTTTTCTTAATTGCCCTGGGATGATTTTTGGGGGTAATCATAAACTTCTCTATCAATTTTCATGAAAATTTATTGACATATAGCTAAGATACCTACTTACGTTTGTAGAAAGTTTGAAGATGGTGCATGGAAAAGAAAAAGAGAAAAAATTAAAAATGTAAAAAAATAGTTAAAATTTTAAGCGAACTTTGACCGACTAAGGCTTCCAAGCTAACTAAAATAATTAGTTTTTTAAATTATTTTTGATGAAAGTAATCATTACCTAACAAACCAGAAGCTTTACTTTTCCAATTATATGATTTTTAATGACACAAATAATTAAAAAGCCTCAATAAGTGTCACTGCGCCTATAAACTCAGCATTTACACATGTATAAAAATTCCAAATTACACTTATTAATAAAAAAAAATTGCTTCTATCTTATAGAAAATTTAATGACGAACACAGTGAAAAAAAAATTAAGTGCATAGCATAAAAACTGACAGAACAGTAACAACTTACAGCACAATAACTTACATTTGAGAAAAGTGGATTTGTTGACAATGCAGTGACAATCAGAAGCCTCCAGCTGCATACTCCAAGTCTCTTTGCAGGGTCTTGTTCCTCATTTTTCATCTGAATGGCGAGTCCATCATCTTGTCCTTGTTCTGCAGATATTTTTCCATAGAAAGTGTAGACTCAATGCCAAGTAGGCCTACCAAGTTGCTTTCACTGTAGCTGACATTGTAGTTGCATACCGCAGTTGCTGTTGTGAAGTCCACCAACATTTTTGATGCATTGCGATGTTTTGGGCATATCCTCCATATTCTTGAATGCAGGTGCTCATTTCGGTTTTGAGTTATGCCCTGAAGACATCGATTCATCATTTCATCTGTTGTGAGTCTGTTATAGATGGCTTTTATTTTCCTCTTCTGAGCTTCTTCCAGGCGGAAATACACTTTAATTGTGGTGTGGGAATGAGGCTGTTGTCCTAGAGCAATGCTTCTATTGTAGAAGCACCATGACCTTTCACCTTTGGGACATCTGTCATGTTGAGGATTGTCGTCTGTTGACGTGTAGTGAAAGAAAGTTGACATGATTTCCTCATGCATTTCACTAGCAGTTGTACCCACCTTTCTGTTCAGGCTTACTTGAAAATAAAACTGCAGGTGATCTATAACTACATCAGTCAGCTTATGTCTTCCTCCCCATGTTGCTGGCTTATCTGCATCACTTTTTGTTTTTTTCAAAGCACGAAGGCCTGTGCCAAGTCTTTTTGCAACATGATTGATGCACTCGGCCTTCACGACAGGGCATTGGTCACCATATGGTCCTGCACCTTGATTCATCTCGCACACAGAACGGAATGTAGAGCTGTCACCATCAGACACGAAAGTTTTATAGATCATATTATACTGACGAGATCTACGCCATAATGCCACAGCTGCTGCTGCCTCCATTCCCCCTGAGGGGCCATCATAATTTTCGTCACAGTCATCATGTTCATTCAACCAACACACATATTCGGTAGCAGTAATTTTACCTTTCTCCATTTGCTTTATTTTAGCGTTACACTTGAAACATATTTTCGAGCAAACTTCGTAATCTAAAATAAGTCTTGTGTCAACATCAATCACTGCACCTACTCCGAAGTTTGATTTGTGACCACGTTTATGCCCAGAGCCATCAAAAGTTGTGCTTACTTGAAACTTTTCATCAGCCTGTTCAACATCCTGTTTGCTTGCATAATGATCACATACAGCACGTCTACTCTTTTCCAGGACACTTTTTGCTAAGTCTATGGCAGTTTTTGTGATATGCTTGGCATAACAAATGTATGTAGGTCTAGTAAAATGTTTCAAGCTAAAAAATGAAATCAGTTTGTCAACACCAACGTATCCAACACCGAGCATCATCATGCAGTATACTAATAATGTTGTCATGGGATAACAATATTCTTTCACTTGTACATTTTTCTTAGTATCCACTACAACGTGACCACATGAACACTTCACTTGGATGTACGTGTCTATTTGGTGGTGCGTAAATTTAGCAGTAGCATTGTTCTGACAACACGATGGACATAACATGCTTTCCACAATTTCTTTCACTGTCTCTTCATAAATTATGCATCGTATTTTCATTTCACTAGCTTCTGGTTGTTCTTTTTGTTCAGTTACTAGAGATTTTTTCTGTGCACTCGTTGGTTCACGTAAACATGACGCCACACGTGATGGTGGTGACGCCCCCTCACTGCTAGACGCTGCCTGACGCCTTCGCTTCGCTGCAACAACTGATGCTTCTGTTGCAATTTTTGCACATTTGCTACGTAAAGCCACGTTCTTCTTTGGCCTAGGCATTATGTGTAATGGCTCCAAGTTGATGAATGTGTACAAAAAGCAGTCGCGAGGGGGGGGGGGTCCCAGGTAGCGAGCACATACCCTCATCCCCTGCACGTGGCAGCATTTGGCATCGATCACTTGGAGGCTCATATCACTAACTCTAGCATTACCAACTACCTCTTTTATATGAAGTAACAGTTCTACAAAAAAAACGTAATAAAAACGGGAAAAAACTATAAAACTGAGGGAAAACATGAGTGGTAGTAGAGAGCATTTAAAAGGACAGAATGTAAACAAACCACGCCTCCCGGCCATTTAATAATAAAACATACTTAGAACCTCAGAACCGCCATGAAACTTCGTGGTGGTGTTGCCAAGACCTTTAGTGATTTTTCAGTGCACTTAACGCATATTCATAAATTTTCGGATTTTGCACTGAAAATACCGTTGGGTGGCCCTTGAAAATGTTTATGGTTGCTTTAAGATTAATAATAACTTACCAATTTTCATAGATAAAGATTATTAGATACTGTTGTACCGTTTTTTGTATACCTCTTGAACATTTCCTTTTCTCTGTTTAACCTCTTACATTCCCACTATGTTCATACGTTGATATTGATTACAGAAAGGAAATACAAAACTTTTGCCAATAGATTCAGTTATGATGATCTTCATATATTATGAGGATAAAAAATACCAACTTAATAAATCACTCTTTAATATTATTTACAGCATCTGAGACACATAAGTACTCAAAGACATCTTGGCACCAAAAAGCCCCATAGAAAAGACGTTACAATACACGAACAAACTGCAAGCCTTTTTATTCTATCCCTGGAGAAATTACAAATCTTACATACATGATTATTGCTAAGAAATTCTAGTGGAATGTATAGGTCTCCTTCACCTCAAGTGTCTCTTTACAAAGAGGAATCCAAAGTAGAAACTAACATTGCATGTAGTTTTAAAAAGACATAATGGTAATCGCAGTAGTACAGGAATTCAAGGTGAGAGGAAAATTCCACTGAAATATCCCTTTTGGAACTTGGAAATACTGACTTTACTACTGTTTTTATTATTATTATTATTATTATTATTGTCAACAGACTGCCAAAATGATCTTATAGACAAAGATCATTCAGTCCTTCCTCATCCCCTACAGAACATTTTCAATGTTTCCATTACTAATATTCTAAATTCGTTGCATTCGCAGTAACTAGAAAGAGGAAAAAGGAAATATATCCTTGTAATCCACATCACAATGAAAATCCATTTTCATAAACATAAAAATCAATTTCCTAATATATGGCATTGTTGAGTAAATATGTCCAGGAACAATTAGCTGTTGCCTAAAAAGACTATAAGCAGTTTAGCTACAACCTTTAAGGTAATACGTACAGCTTACTTTTTGGAACTGAATATGAGCAATATATATGACTTTATAGTAATGAAAAAGTTATTTGTTTTCCTTACTATCTCCACTGAATGTTATGATATAACCTTTACTACAAACACTTTTACTTATGCTCCCATACTGATAGATATTAGCTGTACCATAACTACATCTACATAACCATAAATGCTATAGTTCCTGGAGAAAATACCAACGTTATATCTCTATCATATCTGAAGTATATATTATTTTTCACTCTATTAGATTTATACAATTATGAACATATCAACAGGTAATTACAAAAAAGTAAGAATATATCACATAAAAAATAACATACTGACCTCCATGCACGTTACAAATGTACTTAATGATACAGTTTTATTTTAAAAGAGTGATTGTTACATACCATAAAGGCTGTAAGAATTTTCCCAGCAAAAGCAAACAGTAGTTGCTACATGCAAATTCTACAACACAAACAGTTCCTAACATCGTACAAAATGAAAATAACAATTCAACAGCTTCTGCTACATATTATCTTGAACATACCTAAGCCAATAAACTATCCTATATATGGCCATGGATATACACTATCTATAGTCTTAAATACTCTGGATGCTTAGAAATATATTACACAAATCATTAGGGGTTAAATATCCTCACTGGAATATATATATATAATTATACATTCGATGGTTAATGAGACTATACATATATGATATGACTGTAAACCTAAAATTTCCAAATAGCTTTAGATATCTTGGGCTATAAAAACTCACTGGTCTGAGGACTGACTAATAATATAGACTCATTACATCAATTCTCTTTACTTAAAATCTACAACTGGTGTGAAGGAAGCTATTCACCGAGAAGCCTTATCATCAAGGGCCTGATTTTGTATCTTCTTTCTTTGCTTTTTAATTTGTTCTTTAAGTGTACCAGCATGTCCACCTGAGGCACCTGGGACCTCCATATCATCATCTTCTGATTCTGTAAAATGTCACAGATTTGATTTAAAGGAAATAATATATACACATGTTTGTATTAATGTGTATGCATGTTTATCATAATTATTCAAATAATTCATGGCAGCACAGTATTTATTAAACATCAGATACAGTAAATACATTTTCATTCATAAAATTAAAAACTCACCTGAATCAGTTTGATAACCAGTCTTATCATAGTCTCTAAGGAAGCTAAAGTCTTCTGTGATTGATTCTTTTGCATCAGTCTTGTCGGCTTCAACTTTGTTCCTTCTCTGAGCCAGAATCTGCCGAAGTTCTGATGAACGTGCAGTCTTGTACTGAAAAGCAATAGTGGAATTTTTTTAAATCTTGGCTTTTTTGATACATTGACAATTTCTTCCATTCATCCCGACTTGCATAAATTCTAAAGCCATGTACACACATGAGGCAGTATCTGTGTGGGTAAACATTTTTACAGTAATATTCCAGTTCACATGTTTGGAAATGTAGTTGACAGACAAGTATGAAGATGAGCAGGAAAATCAATGAAATGACTGTTCATTTTCATGGCTGGTCACAAAACAAGTGCACCCCATAGTAGCCACAGGCCACCACAAGGGATATACATTCAGTAGGTAGTGCTTTTGTGGGCTCTACCATCATGGGGATAAGAAAAAGTCAAATAAAAGACAGTAAAATGATATCTTACCCCTGTTACATTACGCTGTATAGTGATCTGAGAGTCTAACCGAATGCCCTCGGCCTTCCCACAATGCAAAATAAGTTGGTCCCGGTCCAGTGCAAACAGTTTCTCTCCATCAACACCCTCAAACTGTTTCCGAATTCTGAGAAAATTAAAAAGAATATATTGATATTTAGAGAATCCTTTTTTATTATTTAATTTAGCTGACAAATAACATTTTACAACATGCATATTGAGTGAACTTATGAAACATTAAACTACTAGTTAAATCATTAGTCATGATGCAGATAACATACCTTTTGGAAAAGCCCTTCATCTCAAGCCATTTTTGCACTTCTTGTGGGGTTGAACTTTGGTATATGTAAACATCGGGTGTCTTCTGAATATCTAGATGTGGCCTCTGTCGGCGGAATGACTCCAGCACCAGCTTCAGTTCCTCATTCATCATGTCCACATTAGATTTCGCTGTAAGTAATTCTGTCATCAGTCTCCATTGTGTGATGTCATTAGTATTTAATCAGTTTCATTAGCAATCTCATAGAACATTTTGCATGTAATTAACAATAATGTGCTTTGTCTTTTTTAGATCTATGCAAAATTTAGAACAAATGTATTATATGAAGAAAAAGAGATAATTTACTTATACAACTACAACTTTTAGATGACAACTAAAGCATACAAAAAAAAAAGAAAAAAAAGTAAAAAATAAAATAAATATATAAATAAAATGAAAAAATAAATATAAATAAATACACAAAGGTATTACCAAACAACAGTTCATAAGCATTTCATAACTAAATGAAACTGTTGCATTATGTTTCATACATTTTCATCTATGAGCAGTTATGACATCTACATATCTGAAGGTTCAACAATAATGTAATTAAGAGAAATCAACAACAAAGCAACAAAGACAAAAATAAATAAAAAGTCCACTGTCAATGGCAAACACAAGTAATTAATACATACAAAGAACTTGTTTCACAGACCTATAAAAAAAGTAGAGTTGATAGAACAAATTCAAGAAACACCATGAGGCAGCACTTACTCGTAGCATACATCTGGTTTGCATTATTGGGTCTAGGCTTAGGAGTTCTCTTAGCCACTGAGTTACTTGGGGTAAAGTCTGGGGGTGGAGGGGGAGGGGGAGCAGGGATTGTACTGTTCTTCTTACGTGAACCTGCAGCATCTTCGTCACTCGATTCATTGGAGCCATACCCTGTAGGAGAGGTATATTGTAATTTTTTTTTCTTTTCTCGTATCTTTTTCTCTACTTGTGAGATTTAAAAGCAACATCTTTGGATGATGATTTATGGTTTTATGATTTTATGGTCAAAATTCCTTTAGCAAAATAAGATAATAATTAAAAAAAACATAATAGTATATGAGAACTGAAGGATAATTCCAAAGAGAAAGGACAGGAAGCAGATAAATACCAACATTAAGCAGACATATAAAAGAAATTAAAAACTAAGGCATATGCAAGCAGAAATCAACAGGAAGTGAATCCAACTACAGTGTAGATACATCACTACACTGTGACTTCACCTACAATAATGCTATAACAGGAAATTCCACATGAGAATTTTACCATGAACTTTAGAAATGTAATTGGATACACAAGGAGCTGAGTACTCCTGAAACATGGGTATAAAGGATTGCACTCACCTGGTGTGGGTCTTTTGTGGAACTCCTCACTTGAATCTGAGTCAAAATCTGCAGGGACTTTCGGTTGTTTGGAGGAGTTACGAAAGCCTACTTTGAGAAAGGGTTGAACAGCTGGTTTACTAATATACCATTTCCTTGTATAATAATTAACAAGCTGCCTAGAACACTGCCATACTTTCATTACTATGTGTAATTCTAAACAACTCTGACTCATGATTTTCAGAACTAATCAAATGCACCTCTGTAATTTTCCAATAATCCCCATTATTCATATATGAAAATCAGCAAGTTCTTAACCTGTGATGCTATAATGTTGATAAATTATGCATGATGGCTATATCTTATATTTAAATCTAGGATTAAAAAATGAAATTCCTAAACCAGACAACTGAGTAAGTAATAAAATATTAAATTAATAAATATATTCCCATGCCTTTTGGTGCTATCATTTAGCCCACTAGCAAACTTGCAATCTTTGGGATGCTCATTGTCACGTGCCCCAACATTCTCTTTACATTCTCTTCTGTTTCCTTTCACATGATTCTTACAAACCTTAAAATTACCTTATACAATCAGAAAAGAGGATTTATATGGTAAGCAATAATTTAACAGTGCTATACCCATATACCTTTGTTGGCAGTGTGCAAGTAAGGTGAGTATTCTAACCCACTGAGTACAAATTATGCTACTACAATAAGTTTATTCCACTGTAAATGACTACAGAAGTTTCAGTGTTGTAAGGGTGCAGGAAATTGTAGTACATTTGCCAAGAATGTTCTACTCTTCACTAGCCTGATAAAACTAGCTTCTCTTTGTTCCCATAGTTCAAATTATATACAGTCCCCAATATGCCCATCTATATTATTCTCTCACAGTTACACTTAAATTTTCACACACAAACACATCCACACCCACCCACACACATGTCCCCCAGCAAATAAAAAGGAACTCACACTGACTCACACACACATACACTTAAATACTCACACACACAGTCACTCTAACACCTGCATTCAACACACTGTACAATATAAAGTTACGAGAGTTCCATTTCTTCAAATGTAATCTATACCCAGACCATACTAAGAAAAACTATCTAAAATGATAAGGGGGCTTTTGATTGAATGCTATCCACAATATCTTTCTAACAAATATAAGTTGGATAACTTATTCCATTCATTTCAGTTTTAAAAACTAGAAGTGAGCAAGAACTTACAAAAGAGAGGATTTAACCCACTAACAAACACATGAAGAAATTACTTACCAAAGAGATATGAGGCACTGCAGGAACTGGGTCTTGCTGTAACAAATGATCCTCCCCACACCCTCCCACCCATCAACAGGAAACAAAAGGAAAACTGAACTGCCCAGAAGGCATTTGTGCATGGGTGCAAAGTATGTTTTGGGCTCTGTTGACAATATGGCACAGGTACTTAAGGAAAATTACAAAATACAAAATAAAGTACATATTTTCTCATTGGTTTATTCATCTTTATCTCGATATTACATTTTATATAATGTAAGATTTCATTTGCCACAACCATCTACCATATTACTGAAAAATAAGAATTCTTATGTTACAAATGTACACGAAATTCTTTACAAATGTCAGGAATCTGATTTCACAGTAAATCTTGTCAACTGATATTTTTGGTTTTCATACAGTAAAGGAGGAAAAATAGTAATAAAAGTTAAAATAAAAACTTAAGACATACAACCAATCTGATTGCGTGCATCCTAAGCACATAGTATGGTTTGCTCTTCAATAAAAAAGGAAATTGTATGAGATGAATGTCTTGTATTGTCACTGTCTCTTAAATTTAGCATGCTTCTGTCAGTTTTTATCTTATCTTCTCTATCTTATTCTCTTTTCTTAGCCCAACACTATTAAGATGACAGTATGTCCAAGGAGACCCGTCAAAATTTGGTCATGAGTCAGTATGGAGTTGTTGTCCCCATTATTGAAAACAGAAGGCAGTGGTGTCTATTTCATACGTAATGAGTTAGTCAGTTGAAGCCATGAAAGATGATATGACGGCATGATATGAACCCTGGGTATGAACTCCACATGAGTCTTGGTCGTATTTAAGACCCAAAATGAGCCTAACCCAGAGCTAACCTCAGCCTATCTCATCATCACAGGAGTCAACAGAGCCGTCCACTAAAACCCTCCACCATGCATGCAATTAATGTCTTGTCCCAACCAGGTTACCTACAGCTTCAGGATTATGGCATCCCAAACTCTTGTGATAAAAAAAAAAAGATAAAGCAGCTTATATTTACAAACCTATTCATATACTTTTACAGAACTGCTCTACAGTTCAACACTAAAAATAATAATAATGATAAAAAAAATTGTAGAATGCCACAAATGAGCTCTCCAAAATAAATGGGAACCCACATTCTTCTGAAACCCTGACTGAAGCGTACATTACCTGGTGTCTAGTAGTCCACTCACCACTGGATGATGTAAGGCTCTAAAGTACAGAGCAAGGCTAGATTTCATAAGCTGTACAGTTAAAACCAGTCTTTGATTATCTTGTTCAGTTGCTAAACTTTTTTTATTACTGTGTATGTAATGTAAAGCCTACAAAAGCTAGTCTTGTCATGCTATAGCAAAACTACGAAAAAAAAAGAAATTAAAAGTTAAATACCAGAAAGAAACCTCAAGCAGAGAGAGTCTATAGTGCCGCAAGATGGGCCGGTACATAACAGTCTCACACAAGTCATCATTTTCTTGTTTCCAAAAGTTGGATACTTTCTTCAGTATCGGAGTATCAGAAAAAATACATTATGATTCATTATCCTCTTACTTAGCAAGGAAAGAGAAGTAGTGGATGAGGCTATATGCTACATATTTCTGAGACAGCTTTTAAAGGTAAGAAAACGACTCATAACTTTTAAAGAAATTTTCTGATACTATACTGTCAGAAATGTCAAACTTACACAAGTCCACATGAGTAACATTATCATCCCACATATATCCTACAGCACTACAGTAACAGCAGACTTAAATACAGAATATGTATGTGAGCAGTGGCAGTCAGGCATTGGTGAGCAAATAAGGGCTTTGCTGAACTTGGAAAATGAACACAAAATTAGGTTATATATTAACTAAAACACTAAAGCATGGAATGTCTGCTTCACTACATACAATAATTCATTATTTAGTGAAGCTTTTTAAAATAAACTAATGAATTCTGTACACTCAGATTAAACAGCTATGGTGGTAATGTTAGTCTGGAGGGTCCACAGGCTAATGTACAAATTAGAAAATATAAATTCATATATATGATGATAGAATATAGCAGATAACAAATATACCACAGAAGACACAGTCTATACACAACTCATACTGTGTTGTGGCATAACTCAAGCAATAACAAACAATAAATCTATTTTCAACTAAGTTATTTACCTTGTACATTCCTTAAGGGGAAATTATTTCATTCACTCAAGCTAAACTTTAACTGTTACATTTCTGACTATAAGTAAAATGAATATAATGTTTAACTGTGCTCTCAATTACACTGATAGAACATAGGTACATATAGACTTGTGAATGATTTAACTAGCAAAAGTGTTCCCTTCACATGGAATAATTTTCTTTGTGACAATGGATAAAAATATTACCAGTATATATATTTTTACAATCATTACCAGCTAAATCATACAGTCCATAAGGTGAATACTAAATAACTGTAAGAAATAAAAAATTCTATCCTCTCTTTTAAAATTGGATGAACATTAATAGCTATGCACATCAATAATAATTTAGTGTTCACCATTATAACATTTATGAGGAAAATATTACAAACAGAAAAGATTTCTAAAATATATAGCCTACGTACTTAAGCGTGTATAATCAATTAAGACGGTGCACAGTGGAGACACACGTACACATATACACCCACATGGAGACATTCACAATGCTCCCCCTTTCAGAGCTACCTACTGCTGGTTCACGATCTCCTGCAGTACCTTAAGGCCTTAAAAATCTAGCATGACATGTGTTGTAGCACCTTCAGCTATCATTAGGAAGATCTCTTTACTCTACACACAACACTCTATACCAATTTTCACTCTACACTTGCAGATATCGAACATGCTCTGATTCAGAACTGATTGTCAAATTATCCCTGCATTATTTCACTCATCAGTCTTCCTATATTTCCTATCACTCTATTGCAACCGCCACAAGTGGAGGATTAGAACATCTTAAAAGAGGTCGTGAACCACCAGTAACAGCACTACAGGTATCAGGCTGTGAACTAGAAATACCGAAATTCACCTTTCTTGCCCTTCCAGACGGGTGGTGGGGCATTCCGTTGAGCACCAGCACGGTAATCTTCCTTACCATCCTGTTGGTTGATTAATTATTACTTTTTCTTCTAATCTATTTCCTCCTACCTAAAACCAAGGCACAGAGGACAAAATAATGTATACCAAGTAATCAACAAAAAAGTGTTCAAATAATAATTCTCCTTACCTGGTCAGCGGCATATGGGGTCACTATTGTGTGTGGGACATGAGCAACTTGTCCCCGTGCATTTACTGCCTTCCACCACTTGCGACTGTCATCCAGCACCTTGTAAAAAAAAAAAAGATACACAGTTAAGATACTAAGAGTTTTCTATATATCCATCAAACTTAACAAAAGTGCCTACATTCTCAGTAATAAACAACTACTCCTAACAGTACTTACCTCCAAATATTCGCCACGAACAACTGTGAGTTCTTTGTCGTTATTGGCGGTGCGTGGGTATGTCACCTGTACAATTTTAGCCCCGCGTGACTTGAGGTCATTGAGCCACTGCCGCTGATGCTTTTCAAAAGTAGGCTGATCCATGGAGTCTTGGGAAATGTCACTTCTCCCTGCTTGAGGATATTCTGAGGGAGGCGTCATTGACCGTGGCCTAAAAGATTAAATAACATGTTAGATTTCAACCTCAAATTCTAAATAAAAACATAACCTCAGAACCACATATTAAGTAAGCTATACATATATATGCATATATATATACACACTAGCAGTTTCTTTGGCACCCACCTCTCATCACGTCCATAGTAACGACCTGGTGGTGGGGGTGATGCTTCTCGTCGGTCAGAATCATAGAAGTCGCTGCCATACTCCTCACTTCGCGGACGGACCTATTACATTTATATGCAAAATTTACTCTCATGAACCCAACTTGAACTATATATAATCAGTCATCAAAATAAGTCATTATCATGACTAAATGTGGCATTATCTTCCAGTTCTGAGAATTTCCTCCCTAACCCTAAAACTGTACTTTTACCTTACAGACACAATTATATACTCTGAACAAACAATCATTTAGTATGTTGCACTGTGATACATACTGTAATATATAGTACAATACTATAAATACAAAAGAAAAAAAAAAATTACAAGTTCTTCTGTGGTCTATACTTCATCCTTTTTTACCCTCTAAAATAATAGTGATAAGTTGCATACAAAACTAAAAAAGAATATCTGAATATAGGTTTCAGTCAAAACAGTTAACATCACCTTAGAAATTATAAAATACAAACAGCTGATAACTATATCTAGGTCAAAGGGCTGTATTTTCAAAATTACAAATGGTAGACCTTTCTTGCTTACTACTATTTATTAATCATTATGATAACCCAATAATGATAATCAAAAATACTACCACTAATAAATAAATATATAAATCAATCTAATAATATACAAATATTGTTTCTCTATCAAGATAATTTTCTGCATATTGATTGCAAATTCACTCAAAATATTAACTCAACATAAGACAAAGAAATAAATCACTGCTAATAAGACCATGATATAGACTTACACCTGATTCCTTGTCCTTGCAAGCAAACCACAGAAATACAGACAATGCAGTATTTTACACAAAATTTTGGAAATATTTCTACATTATTCATGGAATCCAAAAATATCCCTCCACAGTATGCAAGAAAATTAAAAAATAACATCATGATAAAAAAAAAATAAAAATAAAAATAGAATTAATAATAATAATAATAATAATAATAATTACATAAAAAAGAAGAGAAATAAACTACCCCAAAGACAAACCATACCTCTCTGTTCCTTTTTCCATCTGAAACCACCTCTGAGTGCCGCTCACTCTCCGAGAGTTCAGGTGCCCAGCCACTTGAGAATACTGAGAGAATACAAATCAATCAAATGTGATCTTCTCTTTCATGTACAGATAAAAGAGTAGTATTTTACTATCACAAGTACAAAATTAGTTACAGACAAAACAAGTATGTAGTAATTTCATTCTTCTGAAATAATAGGTATTTATTGTAAAGAAGGAAAAAGAATTATTACTTTCTGCCCTTCATAGGGAACTAAGTTTATATAAACAGCTCACCTGGCTGATAAGGTGGAACATTGTACTTCCACATGCTTCGAGGGACACACCAAGCCTCTCCCAGGTTCTGCCATAATTCTGTCTCTCGTGATGTGAGGCAGTTGGTGAGGAGGTCAATAGCATCAGCGGTCAACAGGGGAGACAGGACCTGAACATCAAATGTAGATTAGATTATAATGAATTGCTTCTTTTCATCCTTTTATATAAAAGTAGATGTCTAGTTATTCCTAACAATACAAAATGGAGTTTTCATATCTTCCAATATTACATTTCATCAATGTTTTCCATCTGTAACAAGTCTTTAACAATTCTTGCAGTTTAGCAACATCATTACCTTAGCAGGCAGGTTCGGCCCGTAGTTTGAGTCGCGTGAAGCATCAACAATAAGTGCCAGTGGAGTAAATAGGAAATGTACAAGTTCTGGGGCATTTGGGTCATGAATGTGGGACTTCAGCTTTGCCTGTGGAGAGACCAAATTTTAATGCCATTCAAGTACAAAAAAGCATATCATATATTCACATCTGCTATTCATTACTGACACATAGAAAGATGAAACACATGTAAAAAAGTATCAATATCAAAATATATGGATATCCTAAGATAACATAAACTCACCAGTAAGTTAAATGACAGCTTGAATTTTTGGAAGATATCAACAAACTCCCTCTCTGGTGGAGGCTTGGCACGCATTGACAGCAGGCCATCACCAATGTCTTTCTTCTTGGACTTTCGGGACCTGGAATGGAATTTTCACATTACTTGTCTGACCAAAGGTGCATGATGCAACATTTGAAGAAAGAGAGATAGAGTTAAAGCAATTCAGGTGCCTTTCAGAAATGACAGTAGTCTCAACGAGACCAAATTTACAAACCCAAAATAAAAAAATTGTATGTTGCAATGATCAGGAACTGTCCAGGTCACCGTTAAAATATAACCACCTGATCCCCAGCCCATGGGGACCTATAAAATTCCATTAGATAAGGAGACAAAGAGATGAAGAAATAAGCCCAATTTCAAAATGCATAAATATACCACAAAATTTTAAAAGAAAATTAATTTCCAAGGACATAACCATTTTCTGTGAGTGTTCACTGTGGCACAGAATCCTTTAATTCAATCCTGGATCCAAATGCTGGCCCAGATTAACATTAAAATCTAAACAACTGGTTTCTGGCCTTAACTAACCCATCCATATAAACTCTTCACTATCTCTCCATAACTTTTTGCATAATCCTGCTGAAAGACCAATGAACATGAGCAAAAACCCAACCTCCTTGACAGAGATAAATAACAATTAATACATGTATAAAAAGCAGTCACTAACATCCGAACCTGAATGGCTGCACAAAGAAGACATGTGTAAAGAGAAAAAGATGCTGCCGAATAATGATTTTAACTTTTGTTATTACCTTTAGTGGCCCTATTTCTCCCTTCTCTTTCTCTTTTTTCTTTTCTTTTCTTTTCTGTCTGTCTGTTTCTCTTTATCTGTGATTCTCTATCTATCTAACCATCAGTCTTTCTCTTTCCATGTCTCTCTGTGTCTGTCTCTCTCTATTTTTCTCTATCTCTGTGTCTATCTATTTTTCTGTCTCTATCTGTCTTTCTGGTCTGTCTATCTGTTTGTCTGTCTCTGCATCTCTCTCTCTCTATTTATCTCTATCTATGTCTCTATCTGTCTGTTTGTTTGACTGTCTGTCTCTGCATCTCTCTATTTTTCTGTCTCTATCTGTCTGTCTGGCTGTCTCTGTCTGTCTATCTGTTTGTTTGTCTGTCTGTCTCTGCATCTCTCTATTTTTCTATGTCTCTATCTGTCTATCTATCTATCTATCTGTTTGTCAGTCTATCTGTCTATCTATCTATTTATCTGTTTGTCTGTCTGTCTGTCTGGTCTGGTTGGTCTGTCTGTCTGTCTGGTCTGTCTGTCTATCTCTTTGTCTGTCTGTCTGTCTCTGCGTCTCTCTATTTTTCTATGTCTCTATCTGTCCATCTGTCTGTATGCCTCTGCATCTCTATTTTTCTATGTCTCTATCTGTTTATCTGTCTGTCTGGTCTGTCTATCTGTTTGTCTGTCTGTCTGTCTCTGCATCTCTCTATTTTTCTATGTCTCTGACTGTCTGTCTATCTATCTATCTATCTGTCTGTCTGGTCTGGTCGGTCTCTCGGTCTGGTCTGTCTGTTTATCTGTCTGTCTGTCTGTCTGCCTGGTCAGTCTGTCTCTGCATCTCTCTATTTTTCCATGTCTCTATCTGTCTATCTGGTCTGTCTGTCTGTCTGTTTTGTCTGTCTCTGTCTGGTCTGTCTCTGTCTGGTCTGTCTGCCTGTCTCTCATATGTGCATGTATACATACTCATATAATATGCAAATTTCCAAACCATCTGCTTTCTTCTTTCACTCTTTGCCATTCTCTTCCTTTGATTTTTTTTCCTTGTGCTTCCTTTCTCATCATTTTTTTTTTCATATTAATCATAGTTCCCCTTTTCCTCCATTCTACATTTTTTTCCTCTCCATTCCTTTTACTTTTTTTTATCTTATTCTTTTTCTTCTCCCTCTGTTACACTCTCCAAGTCTCCCATGTCCTGTCTTCTCTTTGTGTTTTTTTTCCCTTAACTTGTATATTATATTCTAACTTTTCATGCTTGAAAGTCAATACTAACTGGTGGGGTTCAGGGAGGGCATGAAGAAAACAAGGGAAACTGTGTTAAAAAAAAAAAATAAATAAATAAAAACAATAAAATTCCTGGAATTTCATCACACAATTAACCAGATCTCAATATCATTATCAAGAGTGTCCCCCCCCCCCCTCTCCTGCCACCTGGCCTACAAATCTTCAGCTCGGAATGTTGAGCAAGATAAGAGCCCTGGTAAGTCACAGATTATTTACATAGTGAATACATCCCTGCATCTAGCACTATGATGCTTCATTAATTTGCCTGTCCTTTATCTTGCCAGAACTTATGAGGGTGAAGAACCAAATGGGGTTGGCAACTCCTTACAGGGAATTATTAAAGAAATTTGTTGTTTTAAAACTTTTTTAGTGTTTATCACATAATTTTTGTTGTAGGTTCATACCCTCAATATCTATTGGTGTGAATTTTGACCATATACCCAAATACATTCTATAATACTCCACTTCCTTCTACCTCTCCTCTTGTCTTTCCTCCTCATATTCAGCTCTACCTTTCCTCCTCCTGCCCACTTTCTGGCCCTCCTCCCACCTGCCCACCTTCCCTCCCCCCTCCTCCCACCTGCCCACCTTCCCTACCCCCTCTTCTCACTTGCCCACCTTCCCTCCTCCCACCTGCCCACCTTCCCTCCCCCTCTTCTCACCTGCCCACCTTCCCTCCTCCCACCTGCCCACCTTCCCTCCCCCCTCTTCTCACCTGCCCACCTTCCCTCCCCCCTCTTCTCCCTCTTCTCACCTGCCCACCTTCCCTCCCCCCTCTTCTCCCTCTTCTCACCTGCCCACCTTCCCTCCCCCCTCTTCTCCCTCTTCTCACCTGCCCACCTTCCCTCCCCCCTCTTCTCCCTCTTCTCACCTGCCCACCTTCCCTCCCCACTCCTCCTACCTGCCCACCTTCCCTTCTCCCACCAGCCCACCTCTTACCTCCCACCTGCCCACCTTCCCTTCTCCCACCAGCCCACTTTCCCTTCCCCCTACTCCTACCTGCCCACCTTCCCTCCTCCCACCTGCCCACCTTCCCTCCTCTCCACCTCCCCTCCTTCCCTCCTCCCCATCTCCCCTCCTCCCACCAGCCCACCTTCCCTCCTCCCATCTCTCCCCTTCCCTCCTCCCATCTCTCCCCTTCCCTCCTCCCCACCTCCCCTCCTTCCCTCCTCCCCATCTCCCCTCCTCTCACCAGCCCACCTTCCCTCCTCCCCACCTTCCCTCCTCCCATCTCACCAGCCCACCTTCCCTCCTCCCCACCTTCCCTCCTCCCATCTCTCCCCTTCCCTCCTCCCTACCTCCTACGGCGCTCGAGCTCCCTCGTGGCGGCGGCGGTGTGCTGCAGCCGGGCGATGAAGCGCTCGATGTCGTCGAAGCAGGAGTTGAGGATGGCCACGTCCCGCTCGTACTTCTCGCTGCTGGTGCTCGAGACGTCGTCATTGTGGCTGACGCTCGACCTCTCAGACCGAGGACCACGGGCCTCGCCGCGCACTTCGCTGTCCGCTGCGGGAGGAGAGAGAGAGGGGAAGGGGTTAGTGGGTGCGGCGCTGCCTTCGTATCGTAGAGGAATGAATGGGATGAACGAGGAGGAAGTTGATGCGGTGGTCGAACCCGGTGGGGGAAATAACCGCTGGGTAGAGGAAAACTTGATGAAGACAAAAGAATTAGAAAACAGGGTATGTATATGGCATTAAAAGGTTGTAAATGACGAAACATAAAAAAGTAAGACATTATTCGGGGGAAAAAATAATAATGCACTAAACATAAATATACAGAACTAACCACCATTACCTGACATGGCAATGAAACACACTGAACCAATATCACTTGTTTACCAGAGGGGGTTACCCCACTCTACATTTTAATTGTCACGACACTTCACTTCATCTCCTTACCGCTTTCTTCCCGTGCCTCCCCACGATCACCCACGTATTTCCCACGTGTGTACCCCCCCCCCCCCCACTCCCACTCCCTCCCCGACCCACCCACCCCCACCAATGGCGCAAGAGGAACCCCACTATTTTATTTTCTCATGGTCATCGGCGGGCAAGAGAAACCCACAACAGCTGAACCGAGACTCGACAACACCGTGCCCTCCTAACCTATCTCGTTACCATTTCTTTCTTCACAAACATTGTTATTATCTATTAATGTATTTATCTATCTATTTTTACTTTTTACTTTTTCCTTTTTTTTTGACCTGGTCTCTTCATCCATAATCATTAATGGCTCCTGGAGATGCCGCAGGACTTTTTCTTTCTTGCTGTCTTTATTTTATTCTGTGGTTTCTTTATATCCCTGTTTCTGCGTACTCGCAACGGGGGACAATTCTCGAAAATATTAATACTAAATTTCAAATGGAAAATACGGCGGTTCACGATGTCACACATATATATATGCAGGAGTCGAAACCTTAAATAAGAGAGAGAAATAAAAACTCATTATAAATTCTTCAATAGCTTTACCGTTCTGATTTAGGCTCCATACCCTCCCTAAATATATTCAAAGATGAGAAAAAAAACACATTATAAATAGTTACGAAATTAAAAAATGAATAAATAGAATAAATAAGTAAAATACGAAATTAGAAAAAAAACTCATTATAAATTCTTTGACAGCCTTTCCATTTTGATTTAGGCCCCACACCCTTCCCAAATCTATTCAAAAGATGGTACAATCGTTCAGAAACTTTGTCTACAGGTAATTGGGGGACAGACGACAATAATACGAAATTAATAAGAAAATATACATTGATATACAGACAGCAAAATATTTAACATCTCAGCATTACATTTATTTTCTCCTTAACATTAACACCAATTACAGTACAGTAACAAAATGTACTTCCTGGCCTGTACATTTAGCAACAGGTGTGACCTTAAACCCTTCCATTCCCTTCCATCCTCCATAAGAAAGAGTCCTTAAATGTTAAAAGTAGAACTATATATATTTTTTGACATAGTACCTTCTCTAAGAAAAAATCTCCTTTAAATGTTAATAGTAAACCAAATCACACGAACAAATTCCCTTTAACTGTTAAAAGTAAACCATGTTATCTTCTGCACAGTATCTTCCCAATGACAATATCTCCTTTCAATGTTAAAAGTAAACCAAATCACCCCTTACATAGTTTTCTCCCTTTCTTAAAGTCCCTCTCAAGTGTTGAAAGCAAATCAAGTTATCGGTCTCCCTCCCTTCGGAAAAAGTCCCCCTCGCAAGAGTTAAAAGTGAACTAAATTTCCCTTTTACATGGACAATACAAAAGACAATCAACGGTTCTACATCAACCGTCTCCCTTCTCCATCCAACCCACTTCTATACACACGCACGCACACACCCATCTCTTTCTCTCTTAATTTGTAAAGGAGACTTTCACGTAGACAAGCTATTGACGGCTACACCTCGCTAGGCCTGTTCTCATGGCTTCTGTGAATGCCCGCTGGATCTTAAAAAAAAAAGATAGATTCTACTTTCTACTGAACATCTACTTTCTCGCAGCCACTAGTCTTCACTAATTGGAACCTTCCTCTTTCATTGAAGGCAATCCTACGCTCTGTTAACTAGATAATGCCAGCGTTTAATAAGAAAGTTGGGCTTTTATCCGCGCAGAGGTGTTAGGCAATGCCAACGTTTAATATGAAAGTTGCTGGTAAATGCTATCGAGAAAATACTACCACAACAAAACAGACCTTTTGAGCATGATCTGGATCCAGCGCTTAATGCCTATAAAGAAAATAATCACAGTTGACCTACATTCCATACGAACTCAAACAGCTAACCTGCTCTTTACGAACAGCTCTTTACTTATCGAAGCAAGTACACCTTCATATTTCAGTTCATATCTTTTTCTTCTATAAATTAACTGTACACTGGGATTAACAGTACATGCATTACATTTCCCAAAGGCTACACGTCCCTCCTTCGGGCATGTTGCCGGGCAGAAAATTGACATTTTGCACAAACGTGCGCCTGACAGTTACCTCGAGGACAGCAAGGCAAACTTGGTCTTGTTACTGTTACTTGGAATCTGAAGAAAAAAGGGAGGCAAGCTTCTCTAAAAATATCCCTTACTCTCTCTCTCATTTATTCTCGCTTGCTATTTCTCTCTCCCTCTCTTTTACTCTTTTTCTCTCCCTCTCCCTCTCCCTTGCTCTTTCTTTCGTCTCCCTTTCTCTTACACTCCCCCCCCTCTCTATCTTGCTCTTTCTTTCTTCATCTCCCTCTCTCTTGCTCTTTCTTTCTTTATCTCCCTCTCTCTTGCTCTTTCTTTCTTTATCTCCCTCTCTCGTACTCTGTTCCCCTCCCTCTTCTTTTTCCCTCTCCCTCCCTTCTCTCTTTCTCTCCCTCTCCGTCCTTACCTCGCATCATCTCCGTCCTCATCATGCGTTGGTAGGCGAGGCGCGCCCGCTCCACCGCCCGCGATCCCTCCATAGCGGTGGCAGCGCCCGGGACGCCCGTGTGGACCATTCCGACTTTTCTCCTCCTCCTCCTCCTCCTCCTTTATTCTAATCTTCCACCTCCTTTTTTCTCCTCTTACTTCTTTTTTTCCCCTCTTTTCTCCTCCTCTTGTTTTTCTCTTTTCTCCTCTTCCACCTCTTTTTTCTCTCTTTCTATTTTCTCCTCTTTCTCTTCCTCTGTTCTTTTTCTTTTTCTATCAAAGTTACAACGCCGAACACGCTATTTTCTTTCCCCTTTTGTTTTCTTTCAGTCCTGTGTTTCTTTTTGTTACGTTTGGTGTCTCTTATAACGCCATAGTTTCAGTTCCATGCTCTCTCTTTTTTTATTCCACGTCAAGTTCTCGTTCCATAAATATTTCCTGTAATACCAATTCCTTTTTCTCTCAAATTGTTTTCGGTGATTTTGCTTTCACGTTCACCGCCAGAATTTGGTAATGGCACAAAATAACCACACTATTTAACTCAATTTAACGCCAAATATATCGTCCAGTCTCCCTCTCCCCTCCCCTCCCCCCCTCAATTTCTTTATAACCACACTAGCATTCTCACTCTTCCTCTCCGTCTTTCATCTTTGCTTCTTCCCTCTTCTCTCGTTTTCTCTCTCTTTCTAATTCTCATTTCTATTTTTTTCCCTCTCATTATCATCCTCTTGCTCATTTCTATTTCTCTCTCTCTTTCTCATTCTCACCCTCTTTATCTTTCTAATTCTCCTTCTTATTATTTTCTCATCATTATCCTCGTATTCATTTCTCTCTCTCATTCTCATTTTTATTCTCTTTCTCATTATCATCCTCTTCCTTACTTCCCTTTCCCATCCCCATCCTCCTCACCCTCATCACCACCCCCCTTCTCCTTCTCCTCCTCCTCCTCCTCC